GCATGTAAAAATGACTGTGAGTTTTCAGAGGCTCTAGAGCGCAAACATCTGATGCTGTTTGGTGCAGACACAGCTTGATTAGCCACAGGCATTTTTTGTTGTTCGAGTGAGTTCGTCAATTGTAGCTTGCCCGTTGCTGTGCAGAACTGATGACTCTTTTGGATTTTGAACTGGTTGGCCATTTACAGCTGTGCACAGACTCAGAGCCACTGCTCTCTCATAAAACAAGAGTGTGGGTGCATGTGTGGGCGAAGAGGCTTTTAGAAGTTGTCTCTGCAGATGGATGTTGTAAAATGCTTTTGCTTTCAGTTCCATAAAGGTAATAATTTTTAACAGTCATTTTTTGCTCACCATGTTGCATTCTTCTGTTTTATGGTTTTAGGCTGTTTTACTCAATTCTGCCTTCAGCGGCTGCTTCCTCATGTGTTCTCTCACTGCCTGTCTCTCACATATAGCCTGACCTGAGAGAATCAAATTTTCAGTGTCCTAGGGAACTATAGCAGAAATCCGCTCCTCTCCCCCTCATCATCAATGGAAGTCTTTTTGTAGATAAGACTCTTTCAGCTTCCAGGCTTTTACTTCTCTGTCAATTAAACTGGCTGCTAAAATGAAGTCTAAGATTTGAAAGAGTAAATAATGGAAGAATGAAAAGCTCTTGTCCAGGTTTAACTGATGATGTGGTAAAAATGCCAGAACCACTGGAGTTTTTTTCTATATTTACATTTATATTATTAGCAGTGCAGCTAAATTGGTGGTAATACCAGTTCAGCCTGAGAGGCCAACCTGGGTACCTTCTGATATACTAGAGGGACGATGCCAGTAAAGATCTTTATTCCACACCATATGGATAAGGGATTGTTTGTCAGTTCCACCCTGACCAAATGACAGGGCTACAATCGACCGCTGTCCAGCTCCATTCAAAGCTGTTGGAAGTCAACGACTAATTATTTCAATCTAGAAAGTGGATCAATTGATCGTTTTTTCTCAGTGGCGCTCAAGATGTCTGTCCTGATGAACAGATGGAATTGATTTGGGCTTATCTCACTGCACCCAGTGTTGGCAGGGTACCTAGATGGTGATTAGTTTTTTCAGTGTAAGATGTTAGGGAAGAACCAATGGTCAAAGGGCCTTTGTCTGTTAGCCACTCACATGGACATGGCCCAGTTGTCTAACACAAAATTAAAAAGGGAGAACATTATTTTGGCTTTTAAATGTCTTCATTGGCACATTTTGAAACAAATGTTCATCATTTTGACAAACACTAAATGCAGCAGCTGTCTTTGGTATTTTTTTTTCCCTGAAGAGTTTTATCTTCTTCTTTTCCATTTTAATTCAAGCCTGTCATATCCACAGTACTGTGAAAGTGTTGTCTTTCTCTTAGAAATGGGGACAAGATTTACAAGAAGTTCAATTAAGGCACCTAACTGAAGTGGCCAAATAAGTGCTCAACTTATTTTAGCCATGGGAACTGTTGGGTGCTAAGTGCTTTTGGAAAGCTGGTCCTTTCTTTTTCTTACTTCTTTTAAAGAAACCAGCATTTCTGACTTGTGCGTTTGATACAATCACAGTTTGGCTAGAGCACAGAGCTGCTTGGGGAAATGTTTTCTGGCGTTTTTTGCTTTCGAATCACCAGCTGTAATGAAGTCTAAGCCAGTAGAGATAGAGGTGCTTGTACCGTCCACCGGCAATTCAGTGACGGATATAAAACAGTCTTGCTGATACCACTTTAGTTTTTGGACACCATGGTTTTCCATATTTTTAGCATTACTATTAGCTATTCCCTGGAGTCGCAACCTCACCGGAGAAACAAAAGGCTAAGAAATACTGGCTCAACTGGAAGTTTGACGTTAACTTCACTGGGACTAGAATTTCATTCTGGAAGAACATGGAGATACTCTTATGCTTATATCGTGCCTCCCTAGGCCTAGGGTCAGGCACATCACAGCCAGAAAGAAGTAAGGAAGTTTATACAAAAGCTATTTGTTTCACTTTTGGACCCTGAGGGTCCTAACTGCAGACAGTATAGCTACCAGTAAAGCCATTTTGATCTGACTTAACTCTCTCTCAATATACTACAGCTACCAGATGAAATGCTAGAATCCATCACTGTCTGGAGATATTTTAAAATTTTAAAGAGAACATAGTTCTGATAAAAAAGTGTGATGCACATAGCTGTAGGGAGTGATTCTCTTTATTTCTCCACAGCACAGGTACAATCAGGCTGCATCTAAATTAGTTTCACCTACATCTTCTTGCCAGGGAGCTTCAACCTGCCAGGAGCTGACCAACTCTAGAGGTGTATCTGGTTCATCTTCCATGGATCATTTAGTCCCTGCCTACTCAGCTGAGTCTCCCAACATGGGAGCTAGCTCAGGCCAAATGTAATGATTGCTTCTGATGAGGGTCTGCTGTGAATTGCACTGAGACCCACCAAACTTATATCACATCAGCCACTTGTACAGGCCACAGACTTGTGATTATTGGTTACTATTGACCTGAGCAATCACCTGGTAGGTCTTCTGGACACTAATAAATCTGTTCTGTCATTAGTTAAACTTACTGCACCTTGGCCTGGAAGATGTAAATTTGGCCAAACTTGATCTTTATAAAGACAATACAGGGACAAGAAGGTGTTTCAGCCTAAGGAATCTACTATCTACAAAACCCTGAATTCAATTAGACAGTGCCTTAGTGCACCTAGGCAAGAGTTTATTCAGCAGGAGCTATATGATCACTAATGCAGAACCCTGGAACATTTCAGATGGATCAAAAATATATTGGGGTGCACTTTCTATATGGTAGCCCACAGTGTCAAGCAGCCAGCCCAATTAATAATTGGGAAAAATACCAAATACTCTGAGCACATGGGGAAAGCTCTCCCTCCCACACAAATATTTCTTATCCAAGCAAGTTGTAATTAAGAATCAAAAGAACAGATTATCTAGAGGCCAATTGTTTGGTATTCTATTAACTGGCAAAATGCATTTCCCAGTCATTTTTGCATATACATACGCAATATCAAGTCTGCTAATCTGTGTAATCACCAGATTTGCTTTCCATCTCTTCCTCTTCCATGCTCTTGAAGAATGAATTTTCTCTATCATCAAAATCCCCTCAGTTCCCTAGCTGCACACATCCTAACTTTGCAGCGTCTTTCCTATAGAGCATTATTTAACCCTTTATAGAAATAGTTACTTGTAAGCTACACAGAAAAGAAAGCACAGTCCCTGCCTCTCTGCCTTTTCCCCTTCTATCTATCTGCTTCTGCCAGGCAGTAACATGTACCCTTATGTGCAGCGCTTATGTATTAGCTCTGATGAAATCAACTGACACTACAGAACAATGAAGAAGGATGTACGTAAGACAACTGAGAAGAAAACACCCTCAGAAACTAAAGCACTGCATATCCAAGAGGAAGAAAGAGATGAAAAGTGTTTAAGAGTTAAATCCTTACTGGGAGCAAAGGTCATAAAAATAGCATATAAAGGAACATTTTGTTAATGGTTCTGTATATTCATGGTGGGGGAAAAGTGCCAGACAGACAGAAACAAGTACTGAAATTTTGTCTTAGACAGCAGCACTTATCTGTCCCAGCAATAGCTATGCAAACTATTTGCCACACCACCCTGCTGACCTGGAGAGACTCTCCGCTAAGCATGATAGGGGAAGTCAAAGCACCAAAGTCTGTTCATCTTCTGGCTTCTCTGCTAGGAAAGCCTTAACAGGGTGTTAGTGAGATCCACTGTCATGGTAGGTTTTGTGATGTGGGCATCTGTGCATAAGAACAGCACTGCAAGCAACAAAACTTTTTCATAAAAGCCACTAAGGAGTCATCAGTTTCTACAGGCCAGTAATATAAGTAGGAGTGGGTGATCAGGGCACCAGCCCCAGATGTAGAATTTGAAGGGGACCAAAAATGATGGTAGCAGTGGTGGCTGGCTTGGCCACTATTATGACAGACCCAGCTGCTGCTGTTTCCCAGGGTGCAGAAATAGCTTGTTACAACTCTGCTATAAACCCAGACTTGGTTTGAGCCAGTACCTACTAGGTAATTTTTATCTTATACCTAAGCTTTTATCTCCAGACTTGAATGGAAAAAAACACATGGAGTGTGTCAGTAAAGGGAGGACAGTCTTCCTGAAACAGTTAATGCAATCCTGCCCCATGTGAACTTTATCTAGGGCTCCATGGAAAGTTGTACAAGCTACAACCACAGCCATCTCTAAACTGTACTTCACAGAAAAATAAATCAGAGAAATTAAGGGCATACAAGATGAATTAGCTCTCCTATATGTATAGTGAGACTTCCATGAATATAATTGAATGAATCCAATTAGCATTTGAACATCATTGGCTCAGGATGAACATATATTACCACAGCATCCCGAGGGACTCTGTAAGACAGTGACACAAAGGTAAAAGTCTGATGCGGGAAACAGAACTAATACAAAAAGTGGGCAGTCTCTTGGCAGCAGTAGTGCAATCATTTTAAGAAAATTAAACAAGAGCTAGAGACAGGTTTATAGCTCACTAAGGGTTCTTCTACACTTGGAAAATAACCCATAGTGGAAATACCTTTTCAACCATAACCCCATTCTGCTGCTGCTGCCCTCTTCCTTGATGTTTTGAAAAAAGTTTGGCTACCAGTGCAGATAGGGATAAAATGTGAGCCAGAACCTGATTGACCTGCATGAGTTGGCAAACATTAGGAAGCTTCTCTGTGGCTTGGACAAGGTTCCAGGAATGATTGTGGTTTTCCTTCTTCCTTGGGTAGACAGGTGTCATGTTCATCTCTTATAAGGAACCTGAAAGTTCCTTTTGTTAAATGGTTTGGCTTCAACTCTTCCACACACAAAAATCCCTGACATGGACAGCCAGTGCCCCCCTTCTCAGATTCCTCATTTCTCAGTCTTGGAGGGGGCAAAGGTGAGTGGTAGCTAAGCAGTAGAAGAAAGGTTAATAGGTTCTTCCAGTGTATTTGTAGCCCACAATAATCATACCATAATCATCATAGCTTAGGGGGAATGCCATGCTTTGTAGCTTCTTTAGGTCAACATAAATGCCGACACGAGGGTTCCTCCATTCCCTGTCCACAAGATCCCTGTGTGTCCCCTTCCAGTTTCCCTGTTTCAAGGTCTCTCTGGTTGCACTCTGCCTTCGTTCGACTGTCAGTGTCTCTGCTTTTCCCACCATCCCTGACTATGTACTTCATTTTTCCTTTCCCCCCACGCCAACATGTTGGGGGAGATTACAACCCGTTTTACAAGCTGTTGTTGTGAGGCCATTGGAAGAGTCCTTTTATTGTTGTAAATCATTGGCAGATGTCTTATTTTTCTGAAACATCATAAAATGGGAAGATTTGCTAGTAAAAATATTGTTTTGCTTTAGCATTCACTTGCTTTTTCTTTTTCTTTTTCTTTTTCTTTTTCTTTTTTTAAAGTTTCTGAGAGGAAATCTGACTTCTAGTTCTGATGCAGCAACTAGAAACTTGTCCCGTGTCCCAGCACATTTTAAAAATGTTAGCTGGATTCCCCTCTATGTTCAGTTTCTGGGAGAACTTTCTCTATCATAAGGCTGCGCTTGCCAAGCTGACATTTCTCCTTTTGTTAGTAGTATTGTTCCGTGGTTTCCGTTCCTGTAGTCAGCCGGCCATGGGTTTGAAATCCTTCTTTCCTGTGGATGCTGCAAGCTGCTGAGCTTTTCATGCACAGTAGGGGACTTGATGCTCATAGCTTCTCACTCCCTTGTATTCGGAAATCAAGCAAACCAAATTCTTATGAGGTCTCCCCATATCCTTTTCCTTTTCTCTCCCTTGCCTACTTGTCCTTGCCCACCACAGATTATAAGCCTGTGTCATTCTCTCTCAAGATGAGTTGAATTGGCAGTGTGTCATAATCTGGAAGAAACCTCCCTTCGTGGTTCCATTATTTTCTGCAGAATTTAAGCTTTGCTTAGAAAATCATGAAGTTTCTATTTCATAACTCTTAAGGCTGCAGTTGTAACTTTCCAAATGTAAATACATGTAGTGTCACATCCTGCACTGCACAGACAGTCTGAAACACAAGCTCTGAAGGCCTGCCTGATTTAAATGGGGTTTCCACCACAGAGGTATCAAGAATATTAGCCTGTTGTTATTTTGCTTTCTACGTGACGTTCCGTACATGCACGTAACACTGTTGTTTTTGTGCATCCACACATACCACCTGACGTCACTTGCTTCATTCTGTGCCCCGTAAGGTATGTATTCCATAGTACCCCTCACTTCTGCTGAGTGTACAGGATTTTGGAAATTTTCCAATTGTGAGGTGCACTGCATAGATTTAGGAGATCCAGTCTGTGAGGCGATCATATGGTTCTTGAAATCTGTAGTACAAAGGCAAGCAAAACAAGGAGGGGGAAATTTCAGATGGGGCACTTTTTGAAAAGAACTTGATTTTCTCATGCACTGATTCTTCACTAGATGCACAACCTATGTGTTAATCTATGCTGCTTTGCAGGAAGCCAAAAGTATCAACCAATTACTCAATGCTCACTCCCTTTTGCAGGCACTTCCCACCTCAATGCAATGGAGAATGGGTCGGTCATCTGGGGTCCCCCCCCTTACTTACAGCCTCGCTCCAACGCCTCCATTTACCTCACCTATCACAGCCTGTTGTTTTTCCAGTGGTTGGGTCTCGAGCGAGAGAGTCTTTTTCTTTAGGATGAGGTACATTTACTGGCCTTCTCCTAGGCCCACTCAGTCCCACCTAGGGTCCTCCCAGCACTGGACTTTCATAGATGGCCTACTCCCAGTTTCTTGCTCATTTGTCTCCCTCCTCACTCAGGGTACTGCAGCCCACCAGCCCCTAACTCCACTGTCTGCCTCTTGCATATCCCTGCCAGGGCAGGGTCTTCCAGCCGGAGTCATCCTTCTGAAAAGGCCCTCCCCCTTTTCACCTTGTAATAGGGAAACAAGGAGGTACCATTAAATAGCCTGTTATTACTATTACATAGCCTGCTGTTAGATAAGGTCCTCTTCCACCTATTAAAACAAACAAACAAACATATAAAAAATATAATAGCAAGACTTCCAACTCAGTCTCATGGTTAGAATTCAGCCTGAACGTTCAATATTGGAAGTCAGTAATCATCATTACTTAATTCCTCAACCAGGGATTTATTTATGTGAATCTGACTTTTTACTTGGTAAGAGAGAAAAGTCTTGAGCCTGGAAAGGCAGACTTCCTGGAAAGACAAACTCTGAGAAGTTTCAACAAAGCAATGAATCTTATTACATTCATACAGTCTTTTGTCCATTGATCTGTATGGTTCACTACTGCAGGAAACATGGTAAGGAAAATGGCTGAGCAGGTATTCATTGAAGTCTTGTTGGCAGCTGGAGCATAAACAGATAAACTATCAGATTGTTCTCTCTCTCTTTATTTTTGTCATGGTGAGTCTTTCCTTCCCTGTTTGATCTTCCTACAGCTCAGTACTGGAGCTGTAATCTTGCCATGGCCTGAATGCCTTCAGGGCATAATACTTTTTAAACGACAAAACAGCCACATGTAGTTATCCTGGTGCATGCAGTCCAGCTGCTGTCCTTGTACTTTGCACCATGCTTGCATTTGTCAGAAGTTTTTGTCTCATTGGCATATGAGCATAATAGTCCTGCTATGCATGTGATCCAGCTTGTTATTATCTCTGTAGGGCCCAACCTTAGCTTTCATAAAACTAAACATGTCTTGGTATGAAGAAAATCATATAGAAAACTGCTGAGAAGCCAGAGGAAGTGTTTTAGGTGTAAGCAACCCCCATAGTGCTAGAAACCCAAGCAAAACTAGCCATGGGGTGGTGACAACCAGCCAATGAAACTGGCTATAACAGGAAAACTGGACTGTTTGACTGCCCAACCTGCTTGATGTGCAAAGGATAAACAAACAGTAGGAATGACTTTGGTCAATGAGATTCCTGTTTCTTTCAGCTTTTAGCAGTCTAAGAGTGAAGTTAAAGGATGAAGTTACTTGTTACTTTTAGACTATACTAAATCTGTGGAGTGGTAAAGCAGCGTTAAAGTTAGACTGTGCTGTGAGCAGTTGCATGTGAAGGGTTAATACCATTTCTTGCCAGGAGAAGATTGGCAAGCAGGCGCTGGCCCAGGAGCCAGAACACCTGGGTATTATCCCTGCTGGGAGGGAGGGAGGTCAGAGGGGCTGGGAGTGTTGCATCCTGGGATGCTGGGGGACTACAGATTGCTCATTTTATTTCTGTGGAGCAGACTGAAGTTATCCTAGCATATACCATGGCCCAGTTAACCCTTGCCTGAAGTGGCATAACAGAGACACTCCCAGGGCACATAGGATGAGTTAACAAGCTTTAATGTGCAGTTACTCACTTTTTAACTGCCCTTAATATGCTCTAAATGTAACATGTACCTTCACCCTGATGTTTTAGAAAAATTTCGGAGTCCTTTCAAAAGGTCACAGTGGGCACGCCTACATGTGCCCCTATGGCGCTGTTGTTACTGCGCTGGCATTTAGGACTTCCTTTCAGAAGTCCTAAATGCCAGCACAGTAATAATCTGTACTACACCATGCATGCAAGGTTATTTTTAGCTTCTACATCGCTGTAGCAACATGTTATACTGAGGCAGTGTGTTGCTATGGTGACGTAGCTGCGGTGTCATGTTTTTTGCCAGTGGATGCTAGGCTGCTGTAGTGCACTGCTACAGCAATGTAGCATCACATGTAGATGTGCTCAGCGCGGTTTAAAGAGAAGCAACTCCTTGGGCCTAGCTGTTTTTTTCTGATTTATCTCTCTGCAGAAAGATTTCTCTCTTTGCAGAAAATTTTCTAAAACTTCAGGGTGAAGTCACATGTTACATTCAGACCATACTTAGGGCAGTTAAAATGCGAGTGTCTGTATGTTAAAGCTTGTTAATTTGTCCTATGTGCCCTGGGAGTGTCTCAGTTATGCCCACTTCAGGCAAGGGTTAACTGGACCGTGGTGTATGTTAGGATAACTTCAGCCTGCTCAGCGGAAATAAAATGAGCAATATATTGTGTCTCTTCAATATACTGTCCGATCATGTTCTATAACTGGGAAAAGACACTGTAAAGTTATATCAGGTGCTCAGATACAAGTATGATAATACTAGCAAATTGCCTGTCAAGAATGACGGATGAATTTGAAATAACAAAAACAAACAAATAGATGTTACTCTTTAGATTTATTAAATCAATTAAATATTTATAAAACGTAAATAAAATAGGTGGAACACTGGAGCATACCAACCCCTTCCTGCACTTGCTCTCATCCAGTGGGCTGGAGGCACACCTGCCCATGTTGTCGCCTGGCTGCTGCCTGCACACTTCTTTGTTGGGCAAGAACAAGGGCAGGTGAGCTCTGTGCCTTGCAACAGCCACCCACACCCTGGGGCTTCCTCCGTGCTGCCCACGGGCACCTCCTTCCCTGCTCGGTGCTCAGGACACGGCTGCCACTGCTTGCCCACTGCCTCATGCCTGTGCCCAGTTCCCACTTTTCCTCAGCTGGCCCCTCTCCCTGCCCTCCCTGCCGCACCGGGCTTCTGGCGCCCTCCCATGTGGAGCTCAGTAGGAACAGCCCTGGCCCCTGACTTTTTTCCCAATTCTCGAAGTTTGGATCATCCTGACATGGTCACTAAACAAATGCTAAGGTTTAGCAAAGAAATTTCTCTGAAGACACAAATGTTCTCTCTCTTACAGTTTTCAAGCTATTCACATTTAAAGAGCGCTATGGACAGACAGACACACAGACAGACAGACTAAGCCCTTCACATATATAGATGGGGCCTACAAATAATTAGACACATGCAGAGGCATAACTAGACTGTTTTGTGCCCTGGGTGCAGTTTTGTGCCCAGCAGCCAGGAAACAGTGGTTGTTGCTGATATATTAGTATTTCCTATAAGCTAGTGCCTGGGCCTGGTACTCTACTTGCCCCACTTAGTTACGCTACTGGAACATGGATAGATATACAGACAGCGATTTCATGGGTTGGCTTGGCTGACCAAAGGAAGCAAGGTTCACTGCTCAACTGGGCGGCATTCCCTTGTTTTGGCGCTTTGTTTGCAATGTGAATATTGTACGTGTTCGGTTTCCCATTTCTAGGCATCCGTGGGCAGAACTGGATTTTGATGAAAATCTGAAGTAGAAAATGGGGGCATACACAGTGTC